GCACAGATATTAGTTCAGTTAGGTAGAAATTAGAAATCAAAATCACTCTCATTTTGGTACAAATAATGCTTTCCTGCGATTTATGTTATTATTTGCGAAGCCGGTCATTTCCGCACGAAGCCAAGGACACTGCCTTCATTGTTGCATAGCGCACAGCTGCATTAGTTTAAATTCATCCCCCCTTGTTTGCTTAGGTGCTCGTGCCCAGATAGTTGTTACTACTTTAAACACTTCTGTCCTGAATTCAATAAAATGGATTCACCGTTCGTGTCCGGACCATTATTTGCTCTCAAAACTTTTTTATCGGAGAGCGTTCAGGTCGGCACACTTTATTTTTTTTACATCAACTTGTCACTGGATAACAAAAACGGCATCCACTAATGGAGTCCCAAATGAGAAAAATCTTGGGTACAGACCGGTCAACCCGTTCACATCGTATTCAAAGCCAGAGGTCTGTATTTCGTGGAATGTAAGGTTGCTGAGAAGTCCACAAATCATCTCTAGCGAAGTCATCGGGCGCAAGTTAATGCATCTAAAAAGAGCATGAAAACCAAAACCGGGAAGGATTATAATACACGCTGTATTGATCAGGCAAAGCTCCGTACGTTTCTTATTTATTTTGTTCAATGCAGTCCACCCTTACTGATAACAGTCTCAAGTATTAGCACTCCTTCAGATATGGAGTCCACAAAATACTTGGCAGTTGGTATTTTGTCATAGCTTCTGGTGGCGTCCCGAAATGCTTCTGTATTCAGAATTTGGCCAGCAAGAGAGAGCCTATTGGCTGAGGCGTTGCGCTCAGTTCTATTTTGCATTTCTTCACCAGCTTGGAATTGTTTACAGGGATAACTCCGCCCACGTGTCAGAATATATTTTCACTTTATTATTTTCTTGACTTGAATACCACAAAAGACATCCAGTGCAGGCCATCTTCGAGAGACATCTTCCTAATCGGCCTCTTTACCTCTGTTTTATTCTTCTCTAGACGAGACATTGATATTATAATTTCGATACCACAAGTGTATCTATTGCAAACATCAAGAAGATACTGTAAAGCTATAACAAAGTATAACAGTAAATGTGGAGTCGGATTTTTCGTGCTGACTGTACAAAGAAGCAGACGAAGACCAGTCGGATTTTTTTAAGCTAGACATAGGCCGTAATACGCTGAGAGAAGAGTTTAGTTACGTCAACCAAATATGTTTTTCTCAACCCATAGTTTTGGTTATAGTTACCAATTTATGTGTTGAAAGAAATATATTTGCCTGATTTTTTTTCTGATTGTAGACGAACTCCACTTATCAGGGTAGGTTAGACTGTCTTCTATGGTCTGTCGGAAAATAACCTAGCCATCAGTTGAGAAAAACATATTTATTTGACGTAACTAAACCCTTTTCTGAGTGTACAAATTTCACCAAATTAATAATTTATTTTCTTTAAAATGCCAATGCGGATTATACTCAAACAAGCATTATAAGAACTACGTTTGACGACTTATAATCGGTATAAATCATTCCCCCTACCTTATCCGATAGTTATGAAAAGACTACAAAAAGGCAGTGGTGCA